CGTTTAAACTGGGTGCACCCCACTACGTGAGAATATGCGAGAAAGACAGGTGAAATTCCGCTTAAAAGGTGGGATATGTCATTAGAGCATGTAATCACAGTCCCCCTCCACATGTAGAGGTAACGGATATCATAATCTGTTTGGTTTCCTGTATTCCTTCTTCAAATCACATATCCTATGCAACACATTGCACAGTCTTAATAACGCAAAACGCATATTTTTCATATATCCCCTCTTAAACGCATCCCTTTAAATAACCATCATAATCGAAGACTTTTCAGTGCAAAGAATATTTTTGTGCATCTTCTCTAAAAATTTATTTCAACTTATAAGGACACTGGAACTCAGTGGGTAAAATGCACACTACATGAGTAGTCGTTTGTGACGAGTGTATTATCATCAAGGCAGACGAAAAGGAATTCGCTCAAAAGCCGGTATGCTGGTCTGGCTGAAATATCTTGGGATGCTGCTATACGATACTTATTATTGCAGATCTATTTAAATTAAAGTTTACTGGAATTTGTATATCATAATTTAGGTTTAGCTGTCATCAGTTTATCCATCTAGTGTATTTTACGTTCATTGGTCGGAGGTTTCGCGGTCTTTATCTGCTTAACGATTGGAAGTCATTCCAGTATGTTTTTTTCAGCTAAGACCCTCTCCCAGTCCTGAAACCATTGACAGTCTGTCCAACGAGGTATGCTATTTCTGGGACCTCGGTGTTATTCTGGCATCTAACTTTTCATTTACTCTTCATATCGAAGGCTTTTTTTATTGAAATCCGTAAATTTTTATATTATATCCGCCGTTTGCGTTCATATCGCACACCGCAAGCCCTTTTCTGGCAGTTTATAGATGCTTTCATTCTCCCCTCATTCTTTACTGCTCTCCAGTTATTTTTACAACTTTGCTTAAAAAAGACCTGGTCATATTTAACCGTATCCTTCGAATGCTCTCTTCAGCTGCCGGTGTTTCCTATGTTTTTTTAGCTCACACTGTAATACAGCAACACTTTAAATCGGTCAAGCATTGTGCTGATCGCATCATTAATGAAGACGCTCATCCTCTGCACTCCGAACTTATGGCTGTGAAGTCTTCCCGTACTATTCCCCGAAACTTCCGTTATATGTCTTGCCGTACATCGGCATATCAGCATTCTGTACTCCTATTCCTAGCAGGCTATGTCACGTGTGAAGAAACAGAAATTGAGACGTTGAAAGCCGATCTGTCTCCATAACAGATGTGGATATTGTGTAAACCTTTAACTTTGAGTATTCTATGACCTTTTACCATGACCCTTTACCTTACCTTATCCCTTGTTCTCCGTGAATGGAGTCATTTTTGTTGAAACTTTT